ATGTACGTGTAATTTTAGCTTAAAAAATAAATTCGTTTGCATCATCGTGGATACAGCTCAAAAATTCAAAAATAGTTTTAGAATTACAGCTATTAGTTCAAATTTGAAGCAAAAGTCCTTGTTTCGACTCATTGTAGAGAGGTTTTGAATACAATCTGCTAAGATGTCTCACACTTAAACAAAACAGCTCTTCATTGTTCGTAGATTTTCAATGGTAATCTAGCTACCATTAATTCATAATTTAAATGGTGGAAGTTTTACAATCTCAAAAAAAACTATAAACATAACCGTAAGACGTATGAAGCTAACATTCAACTAACAACTGAGAACTAATGATACTATCCAATTACTTAAACTGAAATTATTCGGTAGAAATTGCATTTTGAATCAACAGTTGGAAATTAAACGAGTATCCAGCAATCCAATGATGGATTACGAAATGAACTAATTTCATGTAAAAATAATAAACATCACATTATCAACACTGAACAGTTTCTCTACAAGCTAACTAGTCATTTGTTAAATATCTGTATGTTTTACAAATTCACTAGTCTTATAACAATAATGATAGACATTAGCTGTAGGCAGGGTATTTTTCACAAAATCTACCATTCATAAATTCTCTTGACATTTTATAGTGGCCTAACAAGAATGAAATTGCATGTCACAGCAAATCCTTTAAACATTGAATTTTGAAGCAAAATAAACGTTGGACAATATGATTTTTTCTTTCATTGATTCATTGGACGATAATTCCAAATAATTTGATAGCAAATAAGTATTTCAGATAACCATAATAAGAACGAATTTCATGGATTAACATATGGTAACACAATAGTTAGTATGGTTTATGTTGAGAATAATCGAAACAGATGGTAGCTGGACTACGTAAGTAAATAGTTCGGAATCATATATCTAATTAGGTACCAGTAATGGAAATGATAACAGTCCATGAATATTTACATAATACAAAATAATTATTTGAGTTATTTAGTTAAATTGATTATTTGGTTAAATCTTAGCCATTGTTGGCGATTATCTTATTCTCTAAATGGTTAAACACTATCGATCATAAATTCTCACTAGACCTAGTGAATTCATCTCCAGGCTGGTGATTATTGAGTCGTAAATCAATGTACCGCCGAATAGTTTGTAAGGAATAATCTAGTTAAAAATTACTTTTCCTCACGGATTCAATCTAAATGAAAAACCTTTGGAAGCTGAACAACAGTGTCCATTTGATACATCAAAGCGTAATACTATGTCAATTAACACATACTTTATGGTTTCGGCATCCAGCATAATACCTTTGGATTAATGAGTCGGCATTTCATACAGTCTGATTATTCCATTGTCTATAATTGTCTTACAACTGGAATGTATCAATTATTCTCATTATTATTTATTCTTTTTGATTGTATTGCAGTCAAAGAAACTCTTTGGATCATCTAGCTTGTTCTATTTAGTTGTAACTCTATTGTCCTGGTGACTTAATAAGATTCTGTACCGAAAGCTGTACAACACAAATCCACATTACATCGTATGGCTGTCAATTATTGATTTGATGGTTTTCAGATGATTCAATTATTATTTTATCATTATGAGCTTTCAATACATAAGTGTTTATGATTTATTAGTCTAAAGGAATTTTCCACACATTCTAAAATAAATTGGAAAACTAACTAAAGTGAGGTTAGTCATTGACGAAAACTGATACAACAATATAATTTTTGATTAACATCTAGTTAACAATGACAATATCTACTTGTTTTTAACGTAGAAGTTACAATACATATCTGAACATAAAATATTCATTCTGGACACATATTAAGATTATTTGAAATTCTGGTTACAAATCAGTATGCTGGTACTGCAATACAGTAATAACAACTGAAACAATAACTCATTAGTTCAATTAGACAAGGATTTTATCTTTTATATTAATTACGTTTGAAAAGATCGATCAGTGTGATATAAAATTCTTATGCTCCTTACGAAGTTTGTAAGTCAGAAATATAACCCCTCTTTTAGTAGTGAGTGTGCATCGGTGGAAATACTCGAACTCAAACGGACCAGATATTTAGTGTTCCTTACTTTTCACTAATTCTCTGGTCAGCATCATTTTGTGGTAAAATTTATCTTAAACTAGTCATTTAGTTGTAGTCAAGACCCACTAAAAATCAAGCACCTATAAAGTTGTCAACTGATTAGTACCACTTAAAAACGGTTAAAAATGTTATTTTTAAACAGTACTATCTTACAAATAAATAATTAAAACAAGAACCATACAGCATTTATTGGAATTGAACATTAAATATCAAATTGGATATTAAATGGAAAGTGCTGATAAATCAAATGTCTAAGAAGCTATCATGTTTAATTTCAGCAAATAATAGCACTACATTGCTTGAATTTGGTTACATTTTATTGTCTGTTAATACATCTATATTTTTCAGTAAGTTAATAAATATATATTTTGTGGACGTACGTCGATTTGAAATTCGCGTGTTTTGATTCACAGTAACCAACGCCATTCGTTCTTCTGACAACGAAATAAAGAAGTTGATTTACTATTTTGACTTACCCTGAAAAGATCTGATTGAATTAATTTCAGGTCAATAACTTATGTCAACCCTAGCACAAATTTTAACTGGTTATAAAAACGCCATAATCCACGTTAATCTATCCGGAAATATTTATTTATTAAATAATAAGGAGATTAAAAAGTATTGAATATTGAATATTTATTCGTTGATAGGCGGTAATTTTCACCAATTCATCTTAGTCTAGAAATCATACAATTTCATTGAGCATTGAATAGGTATTTCATACTAGTATTCAACATAATGAGTGAGTTCAGACATCAAATCCAGATCTATTACTTAATCTGTAACTAAATGGACTTGTATTTACGTAAATGTTAATTCGGGGCAATTTTTATCGATATCCATTTGAAATCGCTGGTTATTTTACTTCATTAAGAGTTTACGAGTTTCTTAACGAACAATTCTTAAATTAAATGAAAGCATGAATAAGAAAAGGACCTTTTGGTCGAAACATATCAAAAAACATCAAAGGCTCACCAAAACTATTATAGATTCATTTTATTTTTGAGAGGTATATCATACATATTTTAGTTGCAACAACTGAATGTTCCATATACTGATCGTAATTCATCAAAAACAAACTTAATCGGATAGATCCGTGATTCTCCTGTAAATGAAACATGGAGATTTCATTTTTTGTGCTTTAGATATTGCTTTCTGAACTCAAATAACTGACATTTATAATATTGTACGTTCTTTTGTATTTTGCAACACACTATTATGATATCAGATAAAATGCTTATTGCAAGTTTGAAGTATTTTTAATTTGCCTGATACAGAGGAATAATAGGATGCATTTAATGCAATCGAGAAAAAAAAACAAAATGCTTCTCCCATATTTTTACATTTCAATTGTTTTCAGTTATCATGATGTATGACAAAGCAGGGAAATGTATCACATTAACATCAAGTGATTAAAGATATGATTATATCATAAAATCAAACGATGAATGTTCGATATTTTAGTTTCGATTGATAAGTTACATTCGAAAGTGAGATTTATTGGTGAAAAAGCAATTCATTGTTTAATTCTAGTTATTTTTTTGCTTAAATTCACATTATTAACATAATCGATAATGCATCAGATAAGAAATCAATAAATCTTGTTTACAGTAGTCGAATGTTCGCATTTCGTTTACCTGTTAGACACTTGTGGAATATCCTACGTTATCAAGACAAGGCTAACGGTAAATCTGCAAACCATTCCCTAGATTCATTTAAAGCTGTTTAAAAAATTACAGCCTGTTATCCAGTACAAAATATTCAAATGTTTTAGTCTCATGAGTATTAGGACTTATATTCAATCTAGAAACAACTGTAATGTTTTAGTGAACTGGAAAAAAACGAATTCTGTACATGTATTTTAATGTTAATAAAAAATATGATTTTGAAATGAACCAGTGAGAAGAAGCTAGCTATTTGTAAACCTTTCCTTTAGGAGAGTTTGAATCATAATGTATACAAAAGAATGAGTACAATTTTCTGAAACTTTAGTATCCTTTATTTTTTCCAATGAAATCTATTCATCTAAATAAAGAATCATTGAACAATAACACAATGAGCAAACGAATAATGTAAAAAGAAGAAAAATATTAGGAATACAAGATACAATGATTTTGAATAAGGTTACAATATCATATAGAATTACCAATTTAAGCGAACAGACACTAAATAACTGCACTTATATTTCTATAAACAAGTAGAGATTGATAAACTATTGCAAAGCACCCACTACATACTCATAAACTTCATGAAGTGAATGAGAATATGTATTACTGTTTGGGATTTAGATGAATATTCATGATTTAGGGCGTAGAAAAAGTATGATCCGGTGGAAATGAGCTAACATGAAAAAATGATCAACATCTGTGACAGTTTATTGATATTATTACTACATGATTAATAGTTTTAAAGAAAACAAAGTTACTACAATATGAAATGACATTTCAAAATGTCTGAAAGATTAAAGTTTGCTGGTTCTAACGTTTCACTCAATAAATCGCTCTGAGCATTTCAATCCATTGTTTTTTATGAGAAACTAGTTTAACCATAACTTCATATATATCAAAAAGAAACACTTCTCTACCCATTATTTTAATACTTTCTACAAAACGTGGTCCTACATCATTTACGTTGATATTACCGTTTACTAAATTTATTTCATCGCTCCTACAGAATCTTCCTGAAAATCAAAAGATTGGAAAAACATTCAATCCAACACTTATGCAAAATCAAAGGTGAATAACATTTGAAGTTCACATAGTTGAATGGCAGATTACGCTACTTCATAATAACATACACTGTATAGTATAGAAAGAATGAAGGTGAAATTCACCTAATCTAATTTAAACTACCAACATTAATATAACTATTTTTAAAATATAGTATACTTACTTCTAACACTTGTACAGGAACATAACTCATTTGCGCCAATATCCTGTCATCCTCGTATGGATTGTCCGTTTCAAATGGGAATAAGATTAAATTATTTATATCAAATTTCTTTTTAAGTTGATAACCTTGTTCATCGAATAATTTTGTCATAATTGAACCTAAATGTCTTTTTGAATTTACTAATAGATTTCTTCTACTCTTATTGCTTACAGTATGATGATAGTCAGTGGAGAAAACTGAATTTTCAGGTTCACTGATTGATTGCCCATGTTTTTTCATCAGTGTATATGTGCTTAATTTAGTGATATTAAATGATAGGAATGCTTTCTCATTTGGATAATGTGTAGTTAAAAAAATTATTGAGAATAATACAACGAAAAGTATGAGGGCAAAAATGGGCTTGTTTAGAATTACTTTTCTAACATTTCTGTAAGCACATGTGCATAAACTCAAAGTGACCAGTGAAGATGATGATAGTGATGACGTTGATGACAACCGAGATCTAAAAAGCATGTATGTAATAATTGTTCGAAATCTCTAATGTAATTGTTGATTTTAAATGGATAAGTTCAAGGTCAAATTGAGTGTTTATTTGGCAGTACTTCAATAAGTTAACCGTTAATTTTGTTATTTGATTGGTTGGTAATCACAGCTTAGCATTAATTGGTTAATGGTTTATTAAAAATAGATAGACTCAAAAGTAGCAAAGTAATATTTTAAACAAAAACCAAATATTGAGTTAGTTCAATGTAAAAATTAATTGTCTGAATGTTTACTGTCTAACTTAATACTTATTCAACTTGTTTCTTTTCCAAAAATTGATGTACTCTGAAAATACTAATTACATATTTCACTTTACAGGTAGCTTTACATAGAAATAAATGTTTATTGCAGGGGATAGATGTGTCATGTTACATCATTTGAAGTGTTCCAGTTGGGAAATTATTTACGATGTATACTTTCTACATATATTACAGCAGTAGAAGGAATCAGTCAATTATTTTTAAGTAAATATCGTGTTGATATATGAACGGTGTACTTAAGGTCATTTCTAGTGCCACAACGGTTTAGCCATAATCGTCTACAACCAGAGAAAATAAAACAGAAACAGAAAGTGTAGAATAACGTAAGTAATAAATACACCGATATGTCAGTCTAGTCTACCTTAATACAAGCCTAAGATTATTTTATAATTTAATGTTCGGATTGTGCTGGTGTTTCGTTCACTGAGCTGGATGTTTTGGTTGTGAAACTTTCATTGTTCTTCTGAACAACATCATCAGCACAAACTTCAGACAGAAGTAAAGTATTCGAATTTCCCCACGTTTAACCCGTAGCTTGTTCTGTTAACCTCGATCTTGATTGGTTGCTGTTGACATAAGTCTGTCTTTCTTTGGATTAGGTACTATTCAAAATAGTTAAATATACAAGAGACCGTTTTGGTGTAACTTATCCTTTGGTAAGGGGCTTATTTTGTAGGCTCATCAATAAGAACGACTGAACATTTGGAGTCCGTATAATTTAGGTTCTGGACAAAGAGGAGTTTATTCTAATGATTTAATGTCGGCGATTAAGGAAAGAACAAAGACAAGCAAACAGAGGGTTTCTAAACCTGTAAGATGTGAGTTCACTTCTAAGAATCTAGTCGTCAACCATGTCTAAGTTAAGCACCAAGAGTAGATATCCCCGGTTGCATTGAGTAAAGACTAATTTGAAGAATTTTTAGTGATAAGGTATACAAGATCGAAGTTTTAAGGATGTCACCTTGGTAATTGGTGATAGGTTTCTTAGTGAGTAAATAGTTAGAAAGTTCATCACAAATATATTTTTCCATTATTCTTAAGATAAGCGGACTAATAATTGTTCATGTTAATCTTATCTGTAAATTTGTTACGTGGTAATATGTGCGCAGTTTTCCAACAGTAAGGGTAAATATTTATCTCCAGAAAGAGAGAGTATAGTGGTTCAGAGGATGTAGTACGACAGCAGATCCAACATTTTTGTAATGAATGGATGTAATCCCGCCAACTTCGCGATTGTTTGAGACATTGAGGCATCTCTAAATTTCTTGATGTTCTAATGCAGTTATTAAAATGAAGTATTAAGTTTTGTACTTCTGAGCTATATTCTAGTGCTAAGAACTCCTCATTAACGGCTTACAACATATGCTTTATTTTATTTTGTTAAAAATTATGGTTATTTATGCAGTTAATGTGAAATCATTTGACTTAAAGTAACCTTTCTCTATGCGTCTTAATTTATCACAGTATTTAGTTGGTATGCATAATTCGTCTGGCCTATTATTCCAATATGTTTTAAGAGGAATACAAGAATCTGTCATATCAGTAAACTTTATAATCGTATTTTCTGCAAATTTAACATTTATGGTCTGTGATTAGAATAGAGTAGTATGATGGCACCGAATATCAAAAACTTTCCAATGCTTTTAAGTTACACAGCTGTCTAAAGTTAATCACAAACATTTATCAATAGAAAAAAGTGTTTTAGATAATTAATCAATTCAAAAGTATAAAAATTATGTGAAACTAATTGGTGCAAACGTGTCAGTATGCTTAAAAATGATTTTTTTTAAAAAAAACACAAAACCGTGATTTGTAATAAATTCATGAATCAACTGAATTTATTTTGCGAGTTCAAAAAAAAAACAAAAGAAAACAATAGTAACAAAAATTATGAATGTGTTAAAATAAGATCGTTAATAATGAATGACACATTGTGCTTAAATACATGAAATACTGAAAGTCATTGAATGTGTACAGCAATATAACTAACTATATATGATATTGTTAAACAGATTGTTAAACACAACTCTAACCGGTGACATGTTACATAAATCGAAATGTGAAAACTATCAACTGTAAAGTATAGTTCGAACAATAAGATATGCTAACATAAATCTGATTAATATTCATTCGACCTTCTTGTTGACATTTTGTAGCTTTAATTTATCGAATTCTTATTTTCAGGCAGAGTTTTGGAGTTTTGTGTTTTTACACATTTGAAACTGAAACTCAAGGAGCACTGGACGACGGGACGAACAACATCACAAACGTTTAATACGGCCTTTATCCAGGACACTGACAAACTCAACGAATTCAGGATAGCCCTCAGCAATAGATTCCAGGCATTGCACTATATACTCAGTAGAGAGGGAACAACCATGGAGAGCAATGTAAAGGAATCTAGAAGGCAATCACTCAAACATGTCAGAAGGTTCTGGGCCACAAGAAGCACCATCACAAGGAATGGATCTCTGTTGGTAGTCTTGAAAAAATTGAAGAAAGGAGGAACAAGAAGGCAGCAATCAATGTCAGCCGAACAAGAGCAGAGAATGTTAAGGCACAAGCTTAATGCGGAGAGGCAAGCAGGAAGGTAAAGAAGAGCGTCAGGCCCGATAAATGTAAATATGTGGAAGATCTAGCAACGACGGCGGAAAAGGCTGTAAGAGAAGGAAACATGAGACAATTGTACGAAACAACAAAGAAGCTCGCTGGAAACTATCGTAAATCAGAACGACCAGTGAAAAGCGAGGAAGGCAAAGTAATCAGCAACACTGAAGAACAGCGAAATAGGTGGGTAGAGCACTTTAAGGAACTATTGAATCGACCAGCTCCACTGAACACACCCAACATCGAAGCAGCATCTACGGACCTCCCAATTGATGTTGGCCCACATACAATTGAGGAGATCAGTATGGCAGTCGGACAAATCAAGAGTGGCAAATCAGCTAGAGCAGACAACATTCCAGCAGAGGCAATGAAAGTAGATATGGAAGCAACTGCATAAATACTTCACATTCTCTTCAACAAGATTTGGGAGGAAGAACAAATACCAACAGACCAGAAAGAAGGATACCAGATCAAAACGCCAAAGAAAGGCGATCTCAGCAAGTGTGAGAACTACACAGGCATCACTCTTCTCTCAATACCAGGCAAAGTCTTCATCAGGGAATTGTTAAACAGAATGAAGGACTTCGTGGACGCTGAACTTCGAGATCAGCAGGCTGGATTTCATAAGGATCGATCGTTTGCCGACCGAATCGCAACATTATGAATCATTGTGGAACAATCAGCTGAATGGAAATCACAACTCTACATGAACTTCATTGACTACGAGAAAGCATTTGATAGTGTGAACAGGACAACACTTTGGCGTCCGTGAGGAAATAGTCAACATTATACGAAGTTCTTGCGGTGGATTAAACTGAGACATCGTGCATGGAGGACATCTGACAGACTCTTTCGAGGTGAAGACCGGTGTCAGGCAAGGCTGCTTACTCTCACCCTTTCTCTTTCTCCTGATGATCGACTGGGTTATGAAGACGTCAGCATCTGGAGGGAAGCACGGTATGCTGATGGATGATCTGGACTTCACAGATGACCTGGCTCTTCTATCTCACACGCAATAACAAATGCAAGAGAAGACGACCAGTGTAGCAGCATTCTCTGCAGCAGTAGGTCTCAACATACATAAAGGGAAAAGTAAGATACAACACAACATGCACCAACCAAACCACTCTTGATGGAGATGCCTTGGAGGACGTTAACACATTTACATATCTGGGCAGCATCGTCGACAACCAAGGTTGATCCGATGCAGATGTGAGGGCGCGGATCGGCAAAGCAAGGGCTGCGTTTCTACAGTTGAAAAATATCTGGATACCCAAACAAATATTAATCAACACCAAGATCAGGATTTTCAATACAAATGTCAATACGATTCTACTGTATTCGGCAGAAATTTGGAGAACTTTAAAAGCCATCATCCAGAAGATACAAGTATTTACTAACAGTTGTCTACGCAAAATTCTTCGGATTCGTTAGTCAGACACATCATCAGCAACAACTTACTGTGAGAGAGAACAAACCATATTCAAGTGGAGGAGGAAATCAGGAAGAAGCGATGGAAGTGGATAGGACACACAGTACGAGAAGCACCTAACTGCGTCACAAGACAAGCCCTCACATGGAACCCTCAAGGCAAAAGGAAAAGAAGAAGGCCAAGAAGCACATTACGCCGAGAAATAGAGAAAGACATGATAAGAATGAACAAAAACTGGAAAGAACTTGAAACGGAAGCTGAGGACAGAGTTGGTTGGAGAAAAATGGTCGGCGGCCTATGCTCCATTAGGCGTAACAGGCGTAAGTAAGTAAGCACGTAAGTAAGCAGTTAAGTAAGTAAGTAAGTAAGTTTCTAAGTAAGCAACTAGGTAAGTAAGTAGGTAAGCAATTAATGAAGTAATTAAGTA